CACGCTAAATAAAGCTGTTTTGTTTAAAATAATAGATATTTGGTTAAAGTTAAAAAACACTATATCCAGCTTATACACGAAATTAAAATTAATGAACCTATTAAATTGATGAAATTATCCTTGTTCATTTACAAAAATATCAAATGTATCCAAATTATCCTGCACTTCAATAAATGGACGAAATATTTCATTATATATATATATATATATATATATATATATATAGTTTTAAGAAAAGCTCTACATACAAAAATAAATAAATAAATAAAATCCCTAAACACAACTGTCTTGCGAAACGCACCCTTAATACACTTTTTCAGATTTCATTATGGCTATGGTCAGGGGCGGATCCAGCACCTGACGAGCCGACGTGACCGTCTGTACTGGATCCGACGGGGAAAGATATAGTGAAGGTTTATGTTAAATATTTATCTATATATATTTTGTGCAAAAAATTTACCAAAATTGATGTATGGATTGTGTGGTCACATCCTTGCCTTTGCATTAAGATACACACAGGTTCGATTCCCTTGGCCTGCACAATGCTTTTTAATTTTTAAACACAATAATTAAATATTAATAAAATATTGTACCAACTTCCAGCAAGCAAGGATTAAAAAAAAAAAAAAAAAAAGGTTGACCCCCAACCTTAAGGGTCCCCCACCGCCCCTGTCCTAGAGTATCGTGAGGGAGGTAAATCGCAGGTTATGCCTCCAAGGATACATGGTGGAAGGCTGCTTGTACATTTGCACTTACCCAAGAGCCAAATACATATTTCAGGATTCGAACCCTTGACGCGGCAGCCTCAAATAAAGTTGGATTTCTCCACCCTCCCCTTTTACCACTTGGAGATGTGCCCTGGGGGCTCCAGCAAGCAAGGATAGCTCATGTGGTAGAAGGGTTCTTCTTTGTACATAAAAAGTATGGAGACATAAAAAGTATGAGGTTCAATTCCATATCTGTCCACTTTTTTTGTTTAATTTTTATTTACAATAAATAATAACTAAACAACTATAATTTTATTTTTCACAATAATTTCTTTAAAAAATTTATTCACTCAAATTATTACTTCATAATATAAATGCTTTTATCATTATGTTTAATCAATTTATATATAAAATTCAAATTTGGACAATCTAAGAATTGCTCTTTATTTTTTTAGGAGTTTGGAAAACAAATTTATTTTGGGGTATAAAAAATTGTTCTAGTTCTAAAAATCATTGTTTTCAAAATTTGGTTTTGTTGTTATTTTTTTATTTATGACTCATGAATAGTGATTTATGTTCGATGAGTTAATTGACAATTTGGTATTAAAATGAGAATTGTAAATTTGTGGTTGGGATAAATAATTCATATTGTATGAGTCATTGAGTTATGAATTATAATATATCATTTATGAGTTTTGATTTGTCATTTGAGAATTTATGTTTAGGAATTTAGGATAAGTGAAAAAAAAAATAAAAAAATTGAGAAGATATTGGGCTCAATTCAACCATGTGTGCTTTGTTTTTTAATCAATTCTAATTGAAAAAAAAAATTGGGTCATTTTTGCAAATTATTGAATGATTTTTTCAATTGAAACGAAAGTCCATATCTATTTATTCTAATTCTAGTGGTACATCTAATTCTTTTAGGTCTAATCCATACGATGTTTTGAATATTATTTAATTAAGTATTAATAAATGACCATGTTTTGCTATCACGGACGTTGACCGTTGACAGTAAACATTCAACTTTCGTGGTTTGTCCTAGTTGAACTCGAAACCTAGATTCGTCCCTAGCTATGGTCATGAAAACTTTACGTTAACTAGTCTAACAATATACAGTGGGACTGTGGGAGGAATAAAAACTAATTTTTTTTTATTTTTTATTTTTACCCCTTGAAATGATCTTTAATTTTGCTTACTTATAACTTATAAGCAGATAATTTCAAATTTGGAATTTCTAGCACTGGTGGCATCTATTAGAAAATAATATCTAAGTTATCTGAATTAAAATTTGTGACTATAAATGAAATAAAAGCTATAAGGTCAGATTCCAAGCATATCTCTGTTTATGAAGAACTCTTGGCCAATTTGTAAGAAAAGCAATAAGATTTATAGAGATTAAAAGAACAAAGGATAAGTCAAAAAGAAAAAAAATCAAAGAATGTCATAATATATGCTACCTAAAGAATATTATAACGAAAGAAAGAGGTACTTGGCGAACCCTCCGTTAAGAGTTAGAAGTGGTCAGACCAAAACAATTACCGGTGACCTTCACGCATATAAGAAAGTCGAACACATGCTCGTGAAAAAAATAAAATGAGATTATGAGCTCGGACTATCTGCCAAGCCATAAAGCAGCTAATGGCTCTATGCCATGCCCCAATCCCCATCTTGAATTTATTTTATTTATTTATTGTTTTGTATAAAAAAAACAACATGAAAAATTAAAAAGCTCTAGTCAAAGTAATCAGCCCGGTCGGTCGGCTGTGCTTGCGAAGTGGTGGCCTCATTTTTTATGACCACAAAACCTTTTTATGAACGATCTAATTCACTTTACATATTTTTCTTCACATCATACTATGATACAATTTTGGTGCCTAATGGATTAAGTTTTGATTTATTGTCTGTTTGCCTCGTCAATGTCATTAGGGGCCAATTTCTATTCATGCCTAACTTTTATATGAGTATATAAACGCAAATATAAAACTTTAATCTAGAATGGATCTGATTTGCAAAAGTCAACGTTCCTTTTGAATAGTTGGTTTGAATATTTTGGCTGGTTCTTTCACCATATGATAATGTTATTTTAAACAAATGGATTCATCTTTTCAATTTGTGAGATTTGATTTTTGGATCAATATATAATGCCAAGTGCCTAAGATATGGAGAACCTACCAATTTGCCTCGTCTAGTTTCCTTATCTTTTCTTCCCATATTATATAAAGGAGTTGTAATCCAATCATGTAACTCAGCCAAATTAATCTCAAGACGAATAACGGAAGAGAAGAATTTCATATATCAAAGCATTTCTTTGTTCACTCTCCCTCAAGGGCTTCTGATTTGAGCCATGCAAGGTGGCTAAGGCCAGAAGCTCTTTAAGGGAGAAAGAAGAAACATCGTTTTGTTACTTCTCCACACCCTTGGTTTTCAATCATGTTTTGAATGACTTTCTAGTTTGATCATTTCAACTTTTTATATGTGAATTCTCAATGGGATTCTTAGATAAAGTTGATATTTTACTTAGGGGTACCCAAGCGAATAAGTCAACTCAAAGTCTTTCAAGCAGAAGGGTGATTCCAATTATGACTTGCATTGTGCACTCTCCCTCAAGGGCTTATGAGGTGACTTTAAAATTTGATGTCAAATCCAAAGCGCTTGGGAAGAGAGTGGATAATGCTAGCCATGTATATGTAACTTTCATTCGTGGTGTATATATATATATTGTAAAACGTAAACATATCATAAACTCGTACATTTCAACTAATTTTAATTTACTTATCTCACATTACAACAAAATTGTCTCAAGATCACAAGTGATTGATGGATCAATATTGTGCATTTACTTTTGCTTTTGCATTCACGTGGTTCGTGTCTATACGGTGACTATGCTTATAATTAACACTTTAAACATACAGAGAAAATAATTAAAAATATTTAAATTTCAATATTAACTATGATTAAGTTGACTTTGCTTATTAGTTGTTAGTAACAGTATAAAATCTCTATTTGTTTCTACTGAAAAGTTACTAAATATTTTCCTTCTTTAACTTGTCGAAGTCAAATATTGATTCCAATCATGCATTAATAACTACTATATATTTATTATCTACACATTGCCTTTTTATAAAAATTATTAATAATTTTGAATGGAAAAACTATAGTTTTGTACTCTTTATCTTTTAGAATCCTTTTAATTTTCGTTGTTGTAGTGGAGTGGCCATGCCGGTTGATTTAAAAAAGGTCCCGAAAGCAGAATCCACGTGTTGGCACACGAGTGTAAATATTTTTCTGCACCAACATTCATACTCGAGTGTCAAGACTCAATTGCATTTTCATTTTTTATTTTTTCCCCAAGATTTGTGTTATATGTAGGGTCCTTTGGTTTGGATCAGCCCGGCAGATAGAGATGTCAAACGGGTCGAGCGACTTGTCGACTCGTCAAAACCCGACTCGTGGGCAGTTCGGACTCGTCATTTGACGAGCCCGACCCCAGCAGGGGCTCAATCTCGGCTCGTCGAGCCCATGAGCTCGTGGACTCGTAAAAAAATATGAATTTTTTTTTAAAAAAAAGTCCAAAATGTGCAAATTTACCAAAACAATAAAAAAAAAATCACGAGCTCACGAGCGGCTCCTGGGCTCGGCTCGGCCCGTCATGCATTTTGATACAATTTGTTTGGTACATTTCGAGCATCGAACATGAATGATGGAGGCATGCATTAAACACAACTTAGGCAAATAAAAACTGTACATCCAGTAGGCTCAACTTGGCTCGACTAAGCACAGGAAGCCTAGATAATTTAAGGTCTTGTCCGAAGTCTCGTGATGATCATAAATGTGATCTCTTGATGTTTAACGTTAGATTTTCTCATACAAGTTTAAATGAGTCAATTCTCGCTTCAATATATATCAGATCAGATGAAACTATAGATTTGAGCCTTAGAATGTGGAAATGAAGTGGGGACTTCAATACCATAGATTCTTCTTCTCTAAACTAAGATTCAGCACGAATGCATGTGATGACAATATGGCAGTCTTTGTTTTAAGCAGAAGAAGTGCAAGAAACATTACTTTTGTTCCTCTATAACCTTAACCAGACAAAGTGGAGTGAAAAGCCTATAAAATATGTCTCATCTCAAGTGACCACCACCATTCTTTGATCATTTTTTATACCGTTATGAAATGGGATCACTTGTTATGGACTCGTTGAGAATCATTCTGATTAGAAAAAGAGATTTTCACAGATAGAAAAGGATTGCATTCAATTTAAAAATTGCACAATTTGTATATATGTAATGCATCAACTGATCTTTTATAATATCATCAATGAAAGCATTTAATTAGAAGTACATTTCCTCTTTCTTTCTTTTCTTGCAATCAATAGTACTATACAAGCTCTTGATTTTTCTCCACAATCCTCACTTCATTGGCAGATCTAAGCACATTGGCCTGATAGCAAAGAAAAAAAAATCTCAGCTTTAAGACTACAATTAAAATAAATAAATAATAATAAAAAATGCACATAAGTATAGAAAGACATACATGATCCATCAAAGATTTTACCTGCTCATCAGTGATTTCTACTGCAAAACCATCGACAATAACCAAAGAAAGGGTCTTCTTGTAGCTTCCCGGCTCAAGGTTCTTTGCCAAAACATCGTCATGCTTTCTACTTAAGTACAAATCGAGCTCGTGTGCCCCTTTCTTTGTTCTAAAACAAGTCCACCACAAGGACATTGTGATTAAGAAAAGAAGAATTAGATGTTCATCAAGAAATTTATTAAACAAGGTTTAAAGAAAACAGACCTTTTAGATCTAAGGCGCTCATATTCGGCATCATAATTCATGAAAACAAAATGCAGCTCTCTATTGGTGTTATCCATCACCATTCACCAGTTTTTTTTCCTTTAAACTCGAAAACTCCTCCTTCCAACTTCAAATGTATTGAGAGATGGTGTTATAAGCCCATTAGGTGGCTATTTATAACTGAAGTCTGCCTTCAAATATTACAGGGTTTCTTTAGTCATTTCCTTACCTAAATAGACAAATATTATAGATAATGGTTAAATTTTACTAATTAAGTCCTCGCGGATTTACAGATGTTCACAGTCCCTTACTGTAATAAAAACAATCAACCTCCTAAAATTTACAATCTCACTTTAACGCTCTACACTTTGATTGTAATGAATAAGCACCATATTCTCACGTCCTTCACTATAAGAAGAAAGAATCGACCTCCTAAAGTTCACCTTATACAATATAATTTGATTCACTGATAGTCAACGGAACAATTATCAAAATAATTTAGCTTGAATCATAAAAGTGACAAATATCTCATTTTAGTTTTCTCTTTTTCCTAAACCGTTCATCTATGACATAATTTATTAATAGCGATAGTACATACAACGCTCTATTTCACCTTCAACTCAATTATTAAAAAATGGGAGAACTTAACTTTTCTCGTTTAAAAATGGGAGAAAATTATCGGTTGTGTTATGTGTACAATCAGAGTTGACAATTAGACACATGGGAGGGGGACTGACGCTGAATAAAAAAATCATGGGTCAACTGGGATTGTCAACTCCAGTTGTACAAAAAGAATAATTTTAAAATTATACAGGAACTAAAATTAATAATATGTTATTGTGGCTTCTTTCGCCTGTCAATATTTGCAAGTAATTACATGTTATGGAATGCCCCATATTTAAGCTTATTCTATTTTCTAATTGTGCTTAAGAAAGTAGCATGATTCTAGCTCGAAGTTTCTTTCCTCCTCGGGTTTCGTGAAATTATCTCTTGACATTGTCAAGCACACGCTTATGGAAGCAAAGTCAACATTCAAATTAAATAGATCTGAAGTTTAATATAATTAAATAAGAGTAAATATAACACCAAATAAATACGTACATATTTTTCTTCTTTAATCTTGTACATTATTGTCTATCAACATGCTAATTATGTTTGTAAAATCTTCCGTTCGCTCCATTTTTCTCCTGTCGAGCATCTACTCATCAAGCTTTCAATTTTTTTTTTTTTCAAAATTTAGAAACGATCCAAATGTACTTTTTCCTTCAAATTTTAAGTCGAATGTACTTAATTTAAGTCAGTCAAAAGATACCTATACTTGATAAATAATACATAGGCTTCTCAAAAGTCAAGTCATCAAGAATACTTATACGACTATGATTCCTTGACCAAGTCTATTGTGAGAATTTATTGAATCATAATAAAATATAAAGAATAAAATAACCACAACGATGCAACGAAAACGAATGAATCTCGAATGATGGACGCTCAAAAATTCCATAAACAATGTGATATTTATCCGAATAATGTTATTTGCAATCGTTCACTACCACAGTCACTTACGTGATACACATGTAGAAGTTAGTGATTTGACAGATTAATGTGGTAGTTTTTTTTATTATCTTATGTATCAAATTATTAATCGTCACATATATATCATGTAGGCCGACTGTGATAGTGAACAATTACAAATAACATTATTCTATTTACCCTAAGCAAATACTTGACCATTCTTTCTCTGTATAGCGTAACTGTTATTAAATGCCCACTTAATCTAAGCGGGCGAAAGATGTTGATAACAATAACGTAAAACAAGAATAATGATATTTGCAGTCATCCACTACCACAGTCGCCCTATATGGCATGCATGTGGCGGATAATGATTTGATATATGTGGCAAGGAAAAACTATTACATTAATATATCAAATCACAAACCACCTTGTAGGATGTCACGTAGGGCGACTATGAACAGCATTACTCGCAAAATAAATACTAATTTTTTTAGAGCCGACAAATAAAGTGAGGAGAGGTTCCCAATTAACTATATGTTTTTAATTCATGAAATTAATGGATAGGTAAATGATTTTAAATCCTTAATTAAAGACATTAATTATAAGTTTGATTGTGAATATTGCATTTTATATTTGTTTGCACCTATTTTAGAGGCATTTTTAAATTCAACATACCAAATTACTACTACATTCACTACACAAAAATCATCATTTGCAACACATAAAAGGTAACATTTGGTAGTTAAGCGTTGTTAAAGGGTCTACCGCAACATTTTAATAAGCAAATGTTGCCATTAATTAACATAATTGAACTTTGACAACATTTTGTAAATAGATGTTGCTAATGTTGCCTTTCGCAACATTTATGAAATGTTGCGAAAAAATTTAGTTTTTGCAACATTTCAATGAACGTTGCTGAAACTAGCCTTTTGCAACATTCGTTGGCCGTTGCAAAAATTTCACCTTTTGGAACGTTTATTGAACGTTGCAAAAAATGAAACTTTTCACAACGTTCAATAAACGTTGTGAAAACATTACTTTTTGCAACGGCCATTGAACGTTGCAAAAGATTACTTTTCGTAACGTTTATTGAACGCTGCAAAAAGTAAAATCTTTTGAACTTTTTGCAACTTTCAATCAATGTTGCGAAAACATTAAAATTGCAACCTGACTCGCCTACATAAAAAATAAAAAAAGAAAAAGAAAGAAGGAAACACGAGCCAAGCCCTAATCTATTCTCAGTTCTCGCTCTCTCATCTTCACTCTTCCCGTCGCTGACCCAAGGCCTGTCTCGCTTCATTTTCTCTCAAATCACCGACGGCGATCTCCGTTTTCCAATTGTCGATCATCATTTTGTCCATGCTAGGGTAAGTATATTTCCTCATTTTTTATACCTATTTTTACCCGTCTGTCTCTGACGTGTTATGTAACATACTGTAATTTTTTTTCTCTACTTCAGTTATTTGGAATAAGTGCACTGGTTGGGGCTTTAATACGATGTACCAACATTAACTTTTATAGTCTTCATTTATTCAAACTGCAGTAAAGAGGCTATTTGTTTTTAGTGATATGGAGTTTGATGAGGCATCAAAGAATCCTTAGAAGACGGATTACCAAGCCATACAGGGGAAATTTAGCGAGAAGGGTTATCAAAATGTCCTGCAGATTGTGTTTTGGAACCTCGGAGACTCGAGGTCGACCCCTGTTCTAACAAATCAGAGTGGGGTAGCGCTGGTGAGTGGATTTTCAAAGAATTTGCTAACTATGTTCTTGGAAGGAAAGGGAATTGTTAATCTAGAAGAAGTCATGGAACTTGCCATCTCCGGTGAAGAGTATAAGAAACTTGTTATTTTTTATTGATATGTTACTAACTTCCTTCTCAATTTTTCTGCTTTAGAAATTATTAGATCTCCAAACGAATATGGTTTGATGAAAAGATTAGTAAATCAATAAATCCTTTAGTTTTCCCTTTTCCCAAAAAAAAAAAAAAAAAAAGAACTGCAGTAACCCATGTTGGTTTTGTTGAATGTCAGGGAATCAAGATAATGGAAATATAATTGGTCTTTTTATCATGATAAGAGCATTGGGGTGGAGAAAGCATCACTGGAACGTCATTTCTGGCATATAGTTCTTCCTGGACATGGTAAGTTTTTCAAATTTGTGAACCTATGCCATCTGATTGATACACTTCCATTTTCTAATATGAATGCTCTAAGTGAATCAGTATAATTGAAATACAGAAAGATGAGATTCCGATTGAATTCAATATCTACCATCCACATCAAACCCAGCCCTAGTCCAACCAGGTGCTGCAGGACCTCTACACTTAGCTATTACTCCTGTTCCCTTTAGCCTTTCGAATGCTCATCAACCTGGTAATTCCTTTCCAGTTTATTTAGTAATACAATTACAAATTTATTTTCTATTGTTTTGCCTCATAATCTGTGTTGGTGCCAATCAAATACTTGAATATATTGAACTTTGAATACCTGGGTACTGATATATTGATGATTATCATTTGTTCAATGATTTTATTTATTTGCTCCAGAATATGTATGCCCAATTGCTTCCTCTTGCTTTGCCTGCCCCACCTATGCCAAGTATGGGGATGGGAGATAGGAGGAGGTTTTGCCGCATATATGCCACCCCCACAAATGGGAAGAATGCCTCCAATGCCACCATTTGGCATGCCACCAATCAGGTCGTACTGATGTTTGGATGATCTCGTGATAGGAAATTTATAGCAAGTAGTTTTAGGAAATTTACAGCAAGTAGTTTTAGGAAATTTACAGCAAGTAGTTTTAGGAAATTTACAGCAAGTAGTTTTAGGAAATTTACAGCAAGTAGTTTTAGGAAATTTACAGCAAGTAGTTTTAGGAAATTTACAGCAAGTAGTTTTAGGAAATTTACAGCAAGTAGTTTTAGGAAATTTACAGCAAGTAGTTTTAGGAAATTTACAGCAAGTAGTTTTTACTTGTTGAGAAAATGTGGGCACCAATGGGCTTTATGCCTTGTCGTCTCGTGTTTCTTATCTAAGGCTGGCCGCTTTTTCACTTTTCTGGAAGCTGCCTAGTTCAAGGTGAAAGTTTATTTAAAGTTCTAAAATAATGTTATTTGGTGTCGTTTGTCATAGGTTGTGGATATAGTTTGTAATATTTTTTGGTAGCAGAGCATTTTTTGGCTTATGTAGCTGCAAGCTAAGGATAATTTGTGTTTTATAAGAACAAGTGCCATTGTGATTGGTGGCATTCATGAATGAGCATACTGCTAGAAAAATTAGGTGCAAACTATGTTCTTAAAATGGAATCTAGAATTTAAATTTCTACTAATGCAAGTACAATTAAGTAATTCATTGCTATTTTTGTCTTTGTAACAGGCTTATCCTTAAACTTTTTACAGTATTGAATTTCCTTCTAATGAAATTGACCTTTCTTTTCGATTGTAGAGGCTAGTTATCAAAACGATTTCCTTTATTGAATTTTCTATATGTGTGGAATTCTTGCCATTAATTCAACATATTACGTCTTTTTCATCAACTTACTTATTTTTCTTTGTTTTTCTGCTTGATTGTAATTGGTACAACTGCCTTAAATGTGGTATCTATCTTTATCATCTTT